ACATAAGAGTCTTGGGTATCACACCCATCATATCAGCCTAAAGCTGGTTATAATACATTTCATAGGGTCCAAAAAAACAAACAAGTCTTCATTGGCTATTGCCCCCTTTTTAGCTAAAATTTACGCAACTTTATTTGTTTCCCTTACTTCCTGACGAGCTTGCACCTCCAAGAATCTCGCCATCATTCATCTGCAATCAGCAAGAATTGGACTGTGAGCATGGTCTTCAGAAGTTGGTTTCATCAAGAGGTCCATCACCAGCTGTGCGTCCACGTTGATCATAATCTTTGAATAACCCTTGTTTGAGAGACCAAAGCTCAGTAGCAAGACTAGTAGCGGTTCCAAGTTTGCTCAAAAAACCCCAGAGCATACGCCTACAGTCTTTGCACACACCACTAGCCCCTGCTATTCCCCAGGGCTGCCGCATCTGTATTTAATTTCACCCAGCCAACTGGCGGGGGCTTCCATTCTACCAATGCCTCAGACTTCAAGGGCCTGGTTAATCGTGGTTGTGGTTTGTTTGGCAAATTGTTGGCCAGTAAGGATCTCACCTCTAAAACTCTCTTATTCCTGGTTTGGCAGAGGCTAGCACAAGTACAAGGGAAAAGGATTTTCCATGGTAAATTGGCATAATTGGAATCGGCCTTGGATATGCAGTTGAAGAGAAGCAAGGAGAAAAGGGTATAGGTCCATGAAGGAAGCACTGATTCTGGAATTCCCAATTCTCTCCAAACCCTTTTTGGCAACAGTAATGGTTTGAGTCAGTTCTAGTCATGTGGCAAATATTTGTTGTGGGAAAAATACAAGCCACTCAGGGTTACTCCAAGCCCTATCTAGTCTTTCCATGATAAGTCCGTTGGCCCCTCTGGCATTTGTCCAGGTAAAATGAGCCCCTGTGAATCCCAGGTCTAACATGTTACAGTGATCCATACAGTCCTTGTACTCAACTACCCTATTACTGCTTTAATGGTAATCCACCCAGCTTATCATTGGGGTCCAGGATTTCATTAAAATCG